GTCGTCGTCGTCGTCGTCGTCGTCGTCGTCGTCGTCGTCGTCGTCGTCGTCGTAGTCGTCGTCGTAGTAGTCGTAGTAGTAGTAGTAGTAGTCGTAGTGTTATTATAATAATAGAAGGAAGTCAATGATGAAGACGAATGACGACAAGAATAATAGAATAGGGGGGGGGAGGAAAGTGGGAGAGGAATGTGAATTGTTGTTATTTGCAGGTTGAAATTTCATTTATTTGTTTCAATAACATGGTTATCATGAAATTTTATGTATTAAAAATTAAAATTTGTGGAAAAAAGTGATGTTATGGCGCAATTTCCAAAACCTTGGGAAATATGAAAAGTGAGATTGAAAAGGCAGTAGTTTGTAGAGTTTTTTGCTGTGAAAAATTAGAATCGATGATACATTTTCAGAATTGAATTTTAAAGAGTTAGTTCCATTGCCTATAGTTGTATCATTTCCATAAGAAATTATAGACAATTCAGTGGGGCTTGGAACGTTGTTAACATCATCAGAAATAGCAGAGGTCCGAGCAGTGATTCCTGTGGTAACTGTATCAACATTAATTTTAACTTCAAATAATGAATTTTCAGAACACCAAAAAATTTCTGTATGCCATGTACATCTTGTTATTTACTTGACCTCTGATTCCATAACAGTAAATTTTGTCAGCAGCATTTCAAGAAGTCAATGAATGTAATGCAGCTTTCCTATTTACTTCCAGATTTCAAATTCTCATGAATGAAATTTCAGCAAAAATAGGGTTAACCATTCATGAAACACTGCCATTATGTATTAAAGCTATAGTTTCTAGGAAATTACTGAGTCTTGCTTAGATAACTTTTTCATAGTTTGCCAAATATAGTAGTGAGGGTTATTGGTCTGCAATTACTTGTCTTGAGTATGTGGGCAAACATCGTATGTCTATGAAAATGGTAATGTCAGGAATCATTGACAAAGAACCCTTCAGTAAATTTTAACTTATTCATCCCAGCCACAAAACATGCCACCTTTTTCTAGTATCGATATCTTTTCATTTTTCCCAACCTCTTTTTACTCCAATTCCGTTTTTCATACTTATCCCACAACTACTGTATTTCTTGGGTAGAGGAAAAACCTCATTCACTCACACTTGATTCAGAATAATGTCTCTTTAACCAGTTTTCTTTGCGTATAATTTTCCTGCATCTAGTATTTCATAGATTTAATGGTTATATTTCAAAACCATTTATTAGTATGAAATCATCTATCAACCAATTCCCTTTATGCCAGTAGAAGAGAAATGTGACTAATAAAAAAATATGATAAGGTGTAAAACAATGTAATGGAATTGTTGGTAGCCAATATAATGTAAACATTATTGTAGTTAGCTGTGTAAATTGTAATGTGAAAAAAGTACCATGAAAAAAGTATTAAATATGTTTGTTTTATAAAATTGCATATTGGATGGTCCCAGAGTCTATAATAATTTTAGTTCATACTAAAACTATCAATTTCTATTTATAATTTTTACCTTATGTTTTGTGTACACAGTAATGCAGTTTCATTACTTTTTGTGGGAGGGTGAGCAATGTATTTTGTCCTGTATGAATGGCGAATATTAATAAATCTTTCTTTTCTAACAATTTTTCTTTTCTTAATGTCTTTACGTTGGATTATGGAATAATATTACAGATTTATAAATACATATATTGAATTTTTAGGATACCTGAAAGGTAGTAAGGAACGCTATGAATTGGAGGAAGCACTTAAACAAATTTCTTCATCTTGTGAAGATGTTCCCATTATTGTGGGTGATGAAGAAATCAGAACTAAATTGGTTCAACATCAAGTTATGGTAAGTTAAATTTTTTCACAATTCTTTAAGATTTAAATCAAGATAAAAGTTAGTGTGTACATTCAAAATCTGATTGAGAAATGACTTTGAGAAATAGTGATATCTTCAAAGTTGTTATTTAATTTTCTTTCTTGCAGCCTCATAACCATTCCCAGAAGATCGCGCAATACTATCATGCAACACCGGTGAGTTTGTTTTTGAGTTATTATGCGGAAAAATATTTTCTTCAATAACTATCATCAATGTTTTTCCTTTGGAGAGAGGGATGCAACCTAATACCATGTTTCAGACAGATTTTTCTATTGCTGTTATTATTTTTATATTCCTTGTTTCCCCATGGTGCTGTCATTAAATTCTACAGTAGTTTAAGAGAGGGGAAAGGAAGCGTGGAATGCAATAGTGAATGGATTTTCTTAAAGAAACATTTAGAAAGAGAGAATTATGAATAGTACTTGCCTAATATATGCATGTTGTATTAAATTAATGTTACCAATTGTGAGTGCAGGTAAAACCTTGTTGGGTTAAGGACAGAGCTAGTCCCGTAGTGTTTAGGGAAGTGCTCATTGTTTGCTTCTGCCTTGACAGTAGTGGAGACTTAAAATAATTCGCTTCTTTCCAAATATTAAGCTCCTGAAACAAAGAGAGGTTTTTATGCTTGGGGTTGGGCAGAAAAGCTGCTTGACTATTGAAATACAATAATTTTTATATTTAAGGTACTTACAAACTCCATGTGGAGTTGTCTTTTAGTTCAGTGGCAATTGGGTATTTAGTTCTGAGATACCATTAATCCTCCGTTACATGCACACTTGACTGTAACACAACCATAGACACAATCATGTGTATAGACATAGTCTACATTTCCATTGAAAAGGTGTGATATGGGAAATCATTTCAGTTACTTTTGCTCATGAAGTAGTTGTATCCTAAATGTGTCAATACCTGTTCATCTTTTCATCAGAAAGGGTATTGAGAAATGGGTGAAGACCAATACTTTTAATCAGGATATATCAGACAGTTGCTGGGTGCGGCTGTTGGCAAGTTGACTTCTACACACCATACACCATGCTCTCTCCTCTGAAGATGAATGTGATGTAATACCTCATATATTTGTGACATTTAGTAATTGTGTGAAATTAAATCCTTAAAAAGTGCAAATTGTAATACCACTTTTTGGTTTTGGGGATATTACTGTTCTGGTATCCTATGTACCCCTCATTGCAGAAAAAAAAAGTTTTAACTTCCCTACCATGAGCAATTGGAACAGTAATTACTTTTTTTCCATATAGGAAAAAGACCATGTATTTGACTATAAAAAACACTAAAATTAAATAAACACAGTAGATATTGTGTTGAACTGATATTCAGTATTCAGTTTTAATAATAGCAAAGAGATGGAATATTTGTTTGTTTAGTTCAATGATGAATATTAGATTTATCAGTAGTCATTCTAAAGGATAAAAACTGATGTGATTTTTTAAAATCACTTCGCTTAACAGTGCATCAAGATATGGAAAAACAGTACATAAAAGAGGAGCGATAATCCACACTTCAAATCGAAGCTCTTCTGATGTTTAGTTAATAATTTCTGTTTGTTTTAAACAGTCACCATTAGACACCTTTCAGATGGAACCGGAAGGGCTGTCCAAAGAATAGGTCTACTCTCTATAGATCATCTCTTGTTGACAGGAAAGTTAATTTGCTGACTCACAGTCCACAGTGCATGTACTGGAGGGTTAATTTTTTCTTATTATAAGAAAGTACTTATCTGAAAAATACAAGCATGATTACAAGAAATAAAATCCCTAAATGACCAAATAATCTCCTGAAAGACTAAAATGACATAGTTCCATTCCTTATTATTTAAGCTTCAAGTTTTTAAATATTGATAATAACTTAGAAATAAAAATGAGTTTTCAATTCAAATTACTCTGAACATTGTTTGAGCGGCTCATGATCAATGTTTTTTTCTTTTCAAATGTTAATGCTCTCTTTCTGAATTTTCTTTTTGGTCCAATTTCTCTTGACTATTTGTTTTAAATTGTTTTTCGACTATTTTCCTGAATAACTTGTTATTATTTATTGTGTGAATTCAGGTTCAATCTGTTGACAAGACTTAGACAAAGATCTTAGACAATTTCAGTTATTTTATTTTGGTTAGATCTTTTATTTAATCAATCATTTTATCTGGATTTGGTTGTTATATTTGCAAGTAGACATCCCTTTGCTTTAATTATCATTCTTTTACTTAAATTGCATGTTGAGGGTTGTGAATTGAACAAATTGTAGTTACTATTTTAAAAATCATTTGAATTATCTTTTCTAATTATCTGTTAAAGACTATAAACACCAAAAGCATGGGAGGGAGAAGAAAAAATCCAACTTTCTGAATGAATAGGAAAGACCGAATGCCAGAATAAGATGATATTAATTCATCATCAATGAGTGTGGTCTCTTTTTCTTTCTTATTGAATAGTTATATCTTGCAAGTTTTTAATAGTAATGTGTTTTTGCTTCTCACTGTATTGTTATTTAACTGGTGCAGCATTTCTGAAGATGTTATTAAACAATATTATTTTTCAGAACTTGTCAATATAAATAATGTAATTAATTTTTATTGAATTCAGGTGGAAACTTTTTTCTTGTACCTTCTTTGCTGCTTGTAATTTTTGACTTCACTCAATTCAAAATATTAATGAGAGTCTAACAGATAATGGAAGGACAATACATTTTAATCAATCGATCTTTTGACTGACACCATTGTCTCTTCATACATATTTTTCTTCCTTTGAAACACTCTTATTTAGCATGCATCCTATGGATTTTAAACAAACTTCATCATTATGTAATATAATTTTAAAAAATATGTTTTTTTAAAATTGTGTTGCACTTGTAATTCAATGCTAACTGTTGAATGCAATATAGTAATAAATGCTTCATTCAAGTATTTACATGTTAATAATTTGGACTTTCAGGTATTGGTATCCATTGGGCACTTGATCCCAGGTTACTCTATATTGGAAAGACTTTTCAGGCGTATATCCACTGGTGTCAGGAAAATGATATGAAGTGAAAGTGAAGGTAGAATAAAACCCTTTGCAGTTAGATTGGTCATATTGTGGGTGAACCTGAAGCGCTCTTCAGTCTCAGGAAATGGTGGGATTGGGTGTGGCAGGGAGAAATACTTGAATCAGCCAGACATGTGGAATTGATAAGTTATTTCCTTGGAATTTTTTCATTGAGGTTATTTGGTTTTCTTGAAAATTATTAACTGAAGAACCACCTGGAGAAGGAGTCATAACTTAGTGTAGTTTGCCTGACTCTCCTGACCTTCCTGTAGTCTTAGTTGCTGAATGCTCCAGAGTCAAGCCTTTGTTGTCCTGATCTAAATCTCTGACCTAAATGGTTATCAGGCTCACTCAGCCTGGTATTTATTATTTAGGGAATACGGATTAGAGGCATGGAGTTGACCATTATTTAATTTTAATGTTGGCATCTCTCACAAGAAAGGTATTTTTTACGTAGAACTCAAACACTTCAATGTTTTGTTTCTTGTGCAATTTTTTAAGCAATTTTTAACTTTCTAAAAGAAACAAAATTACTAATTATTATTTATTTAATTTAATTTAAATATAAGTAGTTGAATTTGAGAACTATTTTGTATTACATAATCTCAAATTTAATAGAAGTCAGGAAGCCGCTGCTATTTCCCCGGCAATGCCCTGTTTTTAAAGTTTCAGCTAGTATCTTCCTCCCTCAAATATCAAATGAAACAAAATTTAATCTTAATTTCTTTCAACATAACTTAAATATGTCCAAAGCATTTCTTTATTTTACAAAAGATAATGATGTATACATTTGAATAATACACAAAAACAAATACTTCATTTTTCTAATATAATTTCTAATACATTAAACATGCTTCTCTTTCTGTTCTACAATGGTTATGGGCAACCAGTTTCTTTGTGATTATAGTCATATATTGGTTATTAGTTGCAAATTTTTGCGCGGGATTTAGAATTAATTTGAAAGGGAGTTTCAGGCGCTGTCTTGATTTTATTTACTTATACATATAAGAGGCAACTTAAATTCATTGTGTAAATATCTGAAATTGTGGGATTTGTGTAAATATCTGAAATTGTGGGATTAATGACTATTTTCACATATTTTAAAATATTGTTATTAACCCCATACATTTTTCCTATTTTATGACAAGATTGGAGTCCTTCGAAGGACAATGACACCGTTCCCTCCTGTAGTTGTTAAGGTTGAGAGATTGTGGAAACTGAAACTGTGAAATCTTCCCTCTTGTGCAACCACTTGATCTGTAACCAATTTTTTGAATCTGTCTATTAGTCACATTATTTTTCTCAAGCTAGCAAATCAGCACTATTTGTATGCCTGCAATTTAGCATTAGCACATTTGATAACTGCTTTTATTGGGCAACTAAATGAACCTTTTGCTCTGAGATACGAGATAAGTTCATACTACACACCTGTCATTAAAGCAGCAAAATACATATACTCGGACTTTCCCACCATAACTAAACTTGATCAATGCTACTTACTGAATGGTGCCTGATACCACAATTCCACCTCCACCACGTTGTTCTCTCTGCTCCTGGTTTTTATAACTCATTATCCATTTCATCACCCCACTATTATTCCATCAATCACAAATCTAAGTTATAGCACCTTGGAAAAGATATCTCTGTGTGTGTCTTGTTTCTAGATTTGCTGTGCTGTCATAATTTGTATTATTAATTTTGTGTTAATGAGAGTTCATTTTTATTAATTAAATAGATGTAAATAGTATTGTGCTATGAGAAATTGCTTTTCTGTTTATGTATTTTTTATTTATATTTCTTACATTTCATTTTGTTAATAGTTGTTTCAAATTTCAGGGTTGAAATGGTACTTTCTTTGTTGTTTTTTATCCTTTTCAGAATTGAACTGGTGAGAACTAAAACATTTTTAAAGAAATTATATAGCATTGTTTTTTGTGTTGTATTTAAATTCCAATTTCTGCCATAAGTTTTTAAAAATATTTTACACCATTTTGAAATTGTGGATTGTACTTGTTTGAGAAGAGCCTTTGTTGTTTTGGATATACTTTTTTCACACTCTGGTATAACAGTTCTATTTTGTGAAAGTAATAGTCATAAGTGTTTGGAAAAAATCCAGTGTGGGTGTGAATGCATTTTGGTGCCTATGGGAAGAAAACAAGGCAAAATGAAGAAGCTTGCTTCACAACTCTTGACCTAATATAACATGAAGCCAGACCAATATTTCTGCAATTTCCCTTTTGTTTCTGAGCATGACTGAGGACAGGCTTTTCCAGTATCTCCTGGAAAGTATTTGGTTGATTGTCACACTCCCATACATCCCAGTGGACGCTGACAGGTTATCACTCCAACATCTGACACTTCATATCTAAAATATTCGAGAGTTAATGTGTTACATCAGATTTGTTTACATTTTAAAATGTTTCTTGTCATCAATTGAAAGGAAAAACATCCTGCTAAACTTGTTGGATTCATTTTCAACTGACTCGTTTTTGACCGCCTTTGACTGAATAGTGTATCTGGAAAAGGGATGTTTACATAACACACTACAAAAGTAATTTATAATGAGGATGATGCAAAACAAAGTAAAGCGAAGTATAATTACAGAATATGGTGAGAACCAAATCTACACCCCAGGAGTGTTGCTCTGATGAATGCATTCTTTCAGTATGTTCTCAGGAAGCTTATAAAAAAAATTCTAAATTTGTCAGATCCATTCTGGAACATACCATTCTTATATATTTCTATTGGCATTAATTTTGTAGTTGAAATTATCATACAAAAGGGGATGATCTCATTAACACTATTGTATGTGGTACACATAACAAAATTATCTTTTGAAACTATAATTTTCCTACACGGTGGCAACATTCACAATGAACCTTCTTCTTCCGAGTGATCCAAGCCGCCTATCGGATACTGTAAACAACGGCAACCCAACATTTTAATCATCAGACACATGTCATATATCGCGTGGGTGCCGTGGCACTGGGATACATCATTTCCACGGCCACTGCTATGTCACAGCGCTTAAATGCACAAAAACTCACCTTTTGTCTAGCAATCGTAGAAATCATAGAAAGATGATATACCTTTCTAATAGATTATGCAAAATTGTCCAATTTCTATTCCTTTGAATAATACAAACAAAAGATAGAAATATTTAATATTTATGTGATATTTTGTGTGAATATGGAGTACAACAATATTGTTATAAATTTAGCATAATCTGTGCGGTTATCAGTTCAGCATCCCATATTACATCATTAAAATATATAAATTAAGAGTTAATGTGCTACATCATATTTAGTTTTTTACATGTAATTTTTCCTTACATTCATCGTTGCAGGTCCTCAATAATTCTAATTTGTTCTGTCTTTCAATGTTCTCATATGTTAGTGGTTGAAGCTTATTGTTGTTTTGAAATACTTGATTTGTCATTTAAAGAATGAATTCTTTATGTAACATGCTTAAAGTCATAATTAAAAAGTAATCAATCCTCATTTTTTCCTTATTCTTTTTTGTTCATTTTTTTCCCACTGTTTTTTAGGAGACTGAATTACAGTGCTTAAGGATGATTGGATTGTTATATGCTCCACAATTACAGATGATACCTGAGCAGTTTTTTGCTGATCTGATTTCTGTTTGGTGTTGGGCTCTTTGTGTCATTTTCCAGAAATTACTATTGTACTTTTCAGGAAGTCATTAAGAAAGCAATCAAAGTAGCAGTTGCAGCCCAGAAAACATGGGAGAATGTTCCTTTTCAAGAAAGATTCAACATTTGGCAAAGGGCAGCTAATTTAATGGCGACCAAATACAGGATGCAGTTAAATGCTGCTACAATGCTTGGTCAGTCCAAAAATGCCTTGCAAGCAGAAATTGATTCTGCAGCTGAGTTAATAGATTTCTTTCGGTAATACAAACAATTCTTTATCCATATTACTTTGAGGAAGAGAGCTCTTCTGAAAAATTATGCAACTATTTGAAATATTGCTTTTTGTTTTGTTTTGTTGTGTTTTTAGGTTTAATGCATACAATGCAAAAGAATTGCTCAGTTACCGACCAGTTAGTGAAAATCCTAAAGTTACTTTGAATTCAATGAGATATCGAGGTATGGAAGGATTTGTAGCTGCTGTGTCACCATTTAATTTTACAGCTATTGGTGGAAATTTGGCTTACACTCCTGCCCTGATGGTTAGTATTTCTAATATCTTTCATGACATTTATTTATATTATTATTATTATTATTGCATTGTGTTTAAGCAGAGAAATGAAAATAATATTGAGGGTGGTCTTGCCACAGTGCTAAATCCTCTCCTGGCTAGGTGTCCCTTGCGCACCATCCAGTTAAGGACGTTCCCTAAATGAGATTATAACAACAAATTAACATTACTTGGGTTTAAAGACACTTTTTTAGGAAATGAATCAATTTTTACCCTAATTGGAAGGTGGCAAGTATGGACAAGGGCCTCGAAGTCCTTCTAAGAAGCAAGACTTGTGAGTGATCAGTGATGGTGGATTCGAGTCCTTTAAGCTACTGAGTACACCAGAAAATCTCCACTACACCCTATTCCTTCAACAGCCAACTAAGAAAAATTGGAGTCAGCGGTTCAAGGGAGAGGGTTTATTACTGTCTCTATTCTTAACATCTCCCAAACAATAATAGAATAATTTTATCATTTATTTTTTTTATTTTATACACAGTGTTATGATTCATTATATACAGAAAACTATCCTCTCTCTTTATATAATTATAAAGAAAATCAATTCGTGTAACTTTGATATAATAGGCATAAATGAAATTGTTTGCATTGTGAATGCTGAGTACTTAATTCTCAGATATGAATAATTGATTTATATACTAAGCCACAATCACCACATTTTATTAAATTGAAAATTAGCTTTTAACTGTACAGTCAAAACTGGTGTTGAAAGCATGTCAGCGTGTGAAAGCGCCCGATTCCATACAAATATTATTGTAAAATTCAATGTTCTTGGACAAAATATCTGTATATTATTAAAATAAAATAATATGGATAATTGTATTTTTAGGGGATGTTATGTATGTTCTTGGTTGTAAAAATCTTATTTCTTCGTCTCTTGTATGGGGGATGTGGAGGTTCTCCATCTGGGAGTTATGCTAAGTGTTAAGCAGTATCATCATATCAGATCTCCTTTTCTTGTTATAAATAACATGCTTGGATTAAATAATTGAATTTATTCTCAGTAAGCTCATGAAAAACTACTTAAAACTATGTTGTAGATTAGTGCTCAGCTTCATTCACCAGATTTTCTTTTTCTTTCTCTCCAACTTTTTGTTGTAAGTGCAATTTAGTTGGTGCTGTTGTTGGTGATAAAGGTAGTTGGAAATGTAAGAGATGATGTTGAAGAGTGTTTTTGAATTATCTAATATCTAATATGCTTTTACAAGTAAGGTATGTGTTTTTCTGCCAGGGTAATAGTGTTTTGTGGAAACCTTCTGATACTGCTCTTCTGTCAAATTATATAATTTTTAAAATTATGAAAGAGGCTGGCCTACCTTCTGGAATTGTGAATTTTGTACCTGCCGACGGACCTGTATTTGGAGACAATACCACTTCTTCTAAAGATTTAGCCTGTATTAACTTCACGGGATCAGTTGTGTATGTATTGAACCTTTCATCTGTGTTGTACAGTATAGAAGAAAAGCTCTCATTCACTTACTATGTTTTTCCAGAACATTCAATCATTTATGGAGACAAGTTGGAAATAACATTGACCTATATAAGTCTTACCCACGTCTTATTGGTGAATGTGGTGGAAAGAATTACCATTTTGTACATCCTTCAGCAGATGTCTTGAATGTTGTGGTAAACACAATTAGATCAGCATTTGAATATTGTGGGCAGAAGTGTTCTGCATGCTCTCGCATGTATGTTCCTGAATCTTTATGGCCAAAAGTAAGTGAATTTTGATATTTACTCCCAAGTACAATTAATTTGATTTGATTGTTGGTGCTTAGAATAGAGTTTTCTTTTCTGAATTGTTGCTGCTGGAATGGTTCCTTGACATTGCTGCTAATAAGTTATACATTTTATAAGTTCTTGAGACAAACAATGCATGGAATGTTTGGAATATTTTCATTTGAATGGAAATATTTCTTATAGAGAGTAGGTATCTTTCTCAATATAATTTGTGTTAGGTAATGTCAATTAATTTTTTTTCAGATTAAGGAAGGTTTGCTTTCTATTAGAAACGACATTAAAGTAGGAGATCCTACAGAGTATGATACATTTATGGGGGCTGTGATTGATGCTAAGGCATTTCAGAGACTATCTGGAGCAATTGATAGGGCTGGAAAAACATCTGGCCTAAAAGTTGTTGGAGGAGGGACATACGATTGCAGGTATGACTGGAAGAATGGTTTTATATTTACTTTTCAATTTTAATACGTATAATATACTTCGTGTCTGTAGCCTAATAACATTTTTAATGTTTTGGCCTCCTCTGTTGCCCATCTCTCTCTCTCTCTCTTTTTTTTAAATGTTTTACTTATCTTTTGCCACTTGCTATCAATTGCAAATGAATCCTAATTCGCAAATATCTGTCAATGTTGCCCTTCCGTCATTAACCCTAGAACATCCAAGGTAGGACCTAAAGACCCAAGGCATCTGGATTTTTAAAGTACAACTCTTTGTGTTTGTCTATCATGGTAGTAAATTTTTGGCATTTATAAATTTGATTTTCATAAAATTTGTTTCAACTAAAATTTATTTTACAATCGAAATGTATATTTATTATTGTAATAAGTAGGGTTCAGATTATGTTGACCTGAAAATTCTATAAAAATTACGTGTAAAATTTAAAAACGAGAGGAAAATGACCTATACGACTTAAAAGTATGGGGGAAATGACCTCATTTTTTTTTTTTTAAATACTCAGAATTTGTATGAAAATATTTACTTATTCAATGAATTTTACAATTTCAAATAAAATTTATTTATATAAAATTATGTTTAATATACTACCTGGTCATCAGCAAAATATAACGTAAACCAGGTAGTAATTGCAGAAGATGCAGACGATTTGAGTTTCACGATCCGTAAACTCAATGAACACTTTTTAAAAGCAGGACTTAATATTAATATGGACAAATCTGAATACCTGGCAGTTGGTAAAAATGAAATAGAAGATCTTCTTGTGGAAAATGGAGGAAAAATGAAAGGGGTAAACAAATATAAATACCTTGGTGTACTTTTTAACAATAAGGGAAATAGCCATGACGAAATTGAGAGCTTGAGGAGAAACGTGACACGAAGTATAAACTCTGTCTTATGGAACAAAACCATCACTAACACTACTAAAAGATGTCTTTACTCCTCGCTAGTTAAGAGTGTTACAACATACGGTTCAGAAGTTTGGGAGATCGATAAAATAACAAAAGGGAAGCTGCTGGCCCTTGAAATGGACTACTGGCGGGATTCTAGACCAGATTCCTAGCAGCCAGAATATTTCAAATTTTAAAATGTTTCATTTTTAGTATTAAAATTCCAATGTTTACCATAAAATCATCTGTATTTTCATACTTTTATCCCAAAAAATTCACATTTTTTTGAGGAATGTTATGGTCCTATAAATACATAGACCACATAATCTATCATGTAAAAAGCTTAATTCAACAACATACTTTGCCTTAAATCCTTTATACACAAATCTCAAATTATTAAATTTAGATCTTTAAAATCCTTTTCTTTTAATCAATTAGCATATCAAACAGGTAAAAATACACAAAAAATCTTACCTGGTTTATCAGATTGTAGATCCAAATTAACTTAATTTCCTAATTTTGTGTCTGTTTCTTACATTAACAATATATAACGATATTCATTATTGTTTATTAATTCTGTAATTTTCTTTGAAATCTTTACATGATATGTAGCTTCATTCAGTTTTGATACAGCGTCCCATTTCTAATGGGTAATTATTTTATTAATGGATGAAAATGCTAAAATTGATCATATCGAAAATACTGAAATAGATGAAGATATCAAAAATACTAAAATTGATGAAGATGATGATAATGATGGTGGTGGTGGTAGTGGTGGAATTGAAATCAATGACAAAACAAATGATGAATAATTCGAAGTTGTACTTAATGTTATTGTTATCAATGGAAATTAATATGTCAGATATATTATTTCCTTTTGATCTAACAACATATGTAATATTTTGATTGGTCTGAATTTGAGCTGATGAAACTTGCCATTAAATCCTTCCATTTTCTAAATCTCTTACATATGTTCCAGTAATTATTTTAGTAAGTTTTTCTTTATTATCACCTTTTACTTTATAGGTAGAGTATGTGTGTTACTGCCTAAAATATTGTTACCTTTTGATTTGATATTATACAGCATATTTTGGTTGCTCATATATGCGCTACCAAATTTTTTATTATAATAGTCAAATAATTCTGTAGTTCCTTGCAATCTTGTCTAATCTTTTTCCTCCATCATTACAAGGGTGATATCCAATTACAATATTTAATCCTTTGTTACATATTGTCCTGAAACTAATTTGTGAATGGAATTATAATTGTACTTCATATATTAATTTTTTTTCTGTCAGAATTTGGAGGGCAATTATAACAAGCAATTAATTCCTTCAATTTTCTAAATCTATTACATAACCTACATGTTCCAGTTACTATTTTAGTACAATTTTCTTTATTAGGCCCAGATCTGGGCTTCGGCTTTTATTATTATAGGTTCCTTACTTTCATCTAATCTTAACCAATTATAAAATCATTTACCTCTAAGATGACATGGCATTAAAATAGTATTTTTATCAATGATGATCTCCCAATTTTAGATCTATTTCCCAACGTAACCAGAATAATTAAAGCACAGGAGTCGCAGCATCTTAATTTAGTTTCACAATGGCTTAGATTAATCCTAAAACTTTTATCTCCAAATTATGGTATATTCGAGTTTTCTATCCATGAATTATGAGTATGATCAAATCCTAACCATTTTACTTCTACTTTATTTCCTTTTGTTGGTAACACTTTTTTTATTAAATAGATATCTGGGTATTTTGCTTTCAGTAATTCATGATTTTAAAATGATCCTTGAATATGTTTAAAAAAATAATGCTAATTGTGCAAAGGAAACAACTTACTCATGACTGTTCATTCTTGAAGAAATATCTGCGTGTAAGCAAATTAAAGCTGGGAAAGCCCCTGGAATTAATGGAATCCACCCCGAATTCATCTTACACAGCAGCAAGTATACAAGGCACTGGCTAGCTTGTTTCTGTAAAAGTAGGATTTTATTGAAAATTAAAATAAAATCCTGCTTTTATAGATACCCTCAGCACTTAAGTGAAAATCATTGGCATCCTAAAACCTGGAGAACCCAAAAAAAGTCAGAGAGCTACCGACTCATCTCATTGATGAGTGTAATTTACAAACTGTTAGAGCGACTTATCCGCAACAGAATGTGCCCCAGGATTTCTCGAGAGCATACCGATAGAGCAGGTCAGCTTCTGACCAAAAAGGAGCTGCTCAGACAACTTCCCCTGTCCCTGACAACTTTCATTGAGGTCGGATTCCAAAGAGTACTGAAAACTTTAGCTGTAATCATCGATCTCATAGCCGTCTATGATAGTCTGGAGAGATGGCTTGGTCTACACGATTGCTTGAGAGATATCTTGTATGAACACAATACATTTATTGAGGATATGCTCAGTAACAGATTGTTCGCGATAATTCTGCGTAACCAAAAAAAGCAAAATGATGAAGCTGAACAACAGCTTACCTCAGGTATCAGTTTTGGCACCATTGCTCTTGTCTATACATATCCGACATGCCAAAAATAACGTCAAGGATATTTGGTTATGCACATGACTGGGCAATAGCTACACAACATATGCATCTCGAACAGAGAATATCCTTGCTGAAAATTTAAACACTTTGGGACAATATTTACGCAATTGGAGACTTCAACCAATTGCAGCAAAAACGGAAGCTTTACGTTTCCATTTAAATAATAAATTGGCCAACAAAGAGATTGAAATATTCTTCGAAGAGAAATTATTGAAATATAACAAATATCCGAAATACCTTGGGGTCACACTGAAGTTTCTCTCTTATAATAAGCACCTAATAAACCTTGCTGTGAATGTTAACACCAGGAAGAATATCCTTCAAAAATGATGTGGTGCTACATGGGGATCTTCAGCAGCTACTTGCACAGCTTCAGTCCTAGGGCTGGCATACTCTGGTGGAATACTGTGCACCAGTATGTCTCAACAGCGCACATACTTGTCTGTTGGATCAACAACTTAATAACACCATGCATCTCATATCGGGCACTATCAAATCTACTACATATACCAGAACTTCCAGTTAATACTGATCTAAAACATCTACAGATAAACAGATCTAGATACCCACCCCTCAGGGAAGCTACTTCACTTGACAGTGAACATTCAGTATCACCAAGGTCTGGAGAGAGAGATGGGAGAAAAACACTCCAGCTGAAAGCCTTAACATACATAACATATGTTAAGCATAACAGAGAAGCCACCGGATTTTGAACTACCATGAAAGTTTGTGCTCATTAAACAGAATCTGGACAAATCATGGGATAGGCAAAAATTCCGTCTACAAATGGGGGAAAAATCCAATTTTTACTGTGTGACTGCAATGCTGATAAACAAACTGTTAGGCACATTGTGGAAGAGTGTCCATAAAGATTCTATGCTAGCAAACTAACAGATTTTCTGACTGCGTCCATGAGTGTAATAGACTACATCAATAATTTAGATGTCTGTTTATAACTGTTCCATTGTGTTCGTTTTTTGTGTATTTATATACATGGTCTTGTATTTTTGAGATGTGTAGCCATACCATAAATAAATTTATGATGATAGACAATAGGATTGAAATGAATGATTTTAACAATTTCAAGTATTTCCGTAGATCAATTAGCAGTATACAATTTATCTAATATATATTTTAATTTACTTACTCTTACTTTAACACCAATTTTGAATTTTGGTAAAATGAATGAGGGGTAGTGTTTGGATTTCTTGTTTTTAGTAGTTTACCAGCAATTTCAGACAAGTGTTTGTTGAATATACTGGCTGTTTCATTAGGGTTTGTTATTGTTCTCTGTTCATGGACTAGTTCAATATTTTGTGCTTTGTTATTTGCTGATAATGTTTTATTTACAATATTCCACGTAGCTTTTGTTTTATTTTTGGATTTTTTTATATACTCCTCATTTGACATATGTTTGGCCTTTATTATAACTTTTTTGAGTATGGCTGAATATCGCTTATAGTAGTTCACTATTTAAGGATTGCACGAGTGTTCTTTTGTGAGTTTATAAAGCTCTCTTTTTCTTTCACACAAGATTTTAATCCCCTTTGTTATCCATGCTTTGCTGTTTTGTGTGTTGTTTATTTTGTGATACTGTAGTGGATGTGTGTTGTTGAAATAGTGTTTGATTGTATCGAAGAAAGTGTCGAACTTGAGGTTGATGGCAGATATTTCATATACCCTTGACCATGATTCATTAGTTAACAGTGGGATGAGATTGTTCAGGTTTTTTTCATTATACTTCCGGGTCTCCTTTATTAGTTTTGCTTTTGGTGAGGTGGACTTTATTTTGAGAGTGAGTATTTGAGCATTGTGGTGACTGAGCCCCGTATCATTAGTGGTGATTGTGTATGTGTGTTTTTGTTTTTCTAAAAGAATCTGGTCAATTGTTGTTTGGGAGTTCTTTGATTGCCTGGTTGGTGTCTCAACTACTGCATCTAAATTATAGGAACGTACTAAGTTTATTAGTTTGATTCTGGCTCTTTCATGAGCTGTACATAGGAAGTTAATGTTTATATCGCCACAGATTATAATAGAGTAATGAGCTTGCTTTGTTAATTTATCCAAGATTAATTCTAAGATTTAAGGAATATTTGAAGATTCCCATCTGGTGCTTGATAAATGCTTAGGAGGAAGATGATCAGCTTTGGAATTTCTACAATTGAACATTCTATGTCTGAGTTGCATTTTATTTGTTTGAATTCATTTACTTCTTTGGATTCACAGTTGTTGGCCAGATATATGCATGTGCCTCCATGCGTGTGATTGATATTGGTGTTTGTCCCTACGACAGAAGAAACCAGCCAAGTAGAAACCTGGTATTTGTGTCATTTTAATTTGATCCTCCGTAAGCCATTGTTTAGTAATACAGATTGCATCAGTGTGTTTTATGTGATATGTTAGCATGATTTCTATTTCATGTATTTTGTTTTTGAAAGATCGAATGTTCTGATGTAGGATCTTGAAGGTGCTGTGTTTTGCAGTGGTGACCGGTGTAGATTTCAGGATTTCAATGGAAAAACATGATTTGTGGTCCCCTGATACAGAAAAGGAATTCTTCCCTCCCCTCAAAACGGTCGGTCTGTCTATCTGTGAACAACACTAGCGCCAAAACTATTCCTCAATTTTTCTTCTTCTTCTTCTTTCAATTTTGTTCTTTTTTTTATAATTTTTTTTATAATTTATATGCTGAGTTTTATATATATATATATATATATATATATATATATATATATATATATATATATATATATATATATATATATATATATATTTTCGTTTTGAAAATGAACATTCCTTGATATCTGGCCTGTCTCAAAGCTGTCTCTAAGCTTGAAAAAGATTGTTTAAAATTTCTGGATACTTTAGATGAAGCCCCTGGGACACATCCTAAACTTTCTCATAAATGGCTCCTAATTTTTTCTTCAAATTTGTTGTGAGAATAGATTGAAATATGCTTCTACAGATATACTTTGAATTTTTTAAAGTTTCCGAAAGTTAATTTTTCTCTCTCTCTCCTCACAACTACAATAATATATATAGTAGATTTTTTCTTTACAGGAAATTTTTTCTCCCTAATTAGTTTTTTCATTGACGTCATGCACATTTTTTTGAAACTTTAAGTAGATTTCGCGCAACATTACGTGAAATATGTGAATTACAAAAAATCAAAAAAAAAAATAATTTCATAAATGGCTCCAATTTTTCTTCAAACTTTTGGTAGGGATAATGCCAATTGTACTGCATAAAATGACATAAATGCTGCATTGCTGTATTCTTTAATTTTTTCAATACATACGCAATTGTAATATTTTTGACTTTCTTTCACGTTCTTAATATTTACATTTTCGCCAAGATGTCTGCATTATTGCATTTTGTGAGTACTCGTGCTTTAAATGACGTCTGAAATTTTCTTGAAAACTCAAAGTATTATAAGAATTTGAGCTCACAGTTCTGTATTTTCAGAAAAATTCTCAAACTTTTTCAATAAAAATGTCCATACATGACGAGGTTTTACTTTTCTATAATATTCTTTAAGTCATGTTTCGGTTCAATCATTAGGGTGTGAAGAAAAATGTGAAAAAATGATCTTCAGGTGGCAATGGATGGCAGCCGGGAAGAGGGTGGTGCAAAACCGAAAATATAGCCTAGAGGAAAGATTTTAGGAAACACACTAGTTCGAGAAAGTCTGTGCCATTTTGTAGCATCACTAGTTAATTTAATTTTTTTCTCAAATCACACGACTGGTCTTATAATTAGGGCAGATATTCTCGCATTCTCTGTAACTGATGTATAGAACTGAATTTATCTTGAAGAATTGTGTGTTTCCAAATAGTTTCGACTTTTACCCGGTCATCCTTTTAACAAGTCCCATAAACTGAGATGACTTGGTGGTTCAAGAATGAGCAGTAGTTGCGATACCGTAGGTGGAGCGTGAAGTATAACGCGCAAAAGGGCAGCTAGCCAATTGATATTGGTGTACTTGTTAAGGGCATTTGTCTGATTTGGAATTCCCGGACCTCCTCCTCACGAAGCCTGTAAAGTTAGACATAGCAAAGTTTTAAACAAATGAAATGAAACTTTAATTTTTTTACTTTTTTGAGGCTTATTTGTTACGCAAACAGAATTGTCGTTCTTCATTTGACCCTGCTATAAATATTTGGCTAACTTGTCATCAAGTTAGCACCGCAATTACCAGAAAAACAAGTAATTGCAGATATAAATAAAAACTAATTACATGGGCATTTGTCGCATTTGTGTTGCTCAGAAGTACGAGATAACGGAAATGATGTTGCTCTTCAACTACTATCTAATACCAAGAATGTGAAATTCCGCCAAAATACCGGACATAAAAAAGTTGCCTTTCTGCGGCGGGTGACAGTGAAGGGACGACAGTCTAAAATCTAAAATCACAGCTACTAACAATTACAACGTAGTAAAATATAAATATTAGTTTTTTTGTTTAGTTAATAATGAATAAATTCAGCAACTGATTAACTTTGAAAACAAGTGAAAATGAGAAATTCAAACTATGCAGTACTACATGTTTTAAAAATAACTGTACGAGTAAGTGTGTTCTTAAACATGTAGAAATAAAAGGAGAACACATGCAAAAAAAACAAAAACACTTGAATGATTAAAACTATGACCACTAGTTGAATTAATGTAATGTTTGTGTACATTTTAATGAAAACAGATATGAACTCTTCATTAGTCTCGAACAATGTTATAAGGAGTCTGTATTTGTCTTATTTTGAAGTGGCCTACTTCACAGATGTGACCCATGTCAGTCAAGACTTGAGAAATTTTCAGATGAATACCTAACCTGTTGAGGATTACCTACAGTAAAAAATACTGTGTTTATGTCTTCCATTGTTAGCAAAACGCTGTACCAGAAACCACAACATGATGTATTACAGATTGATCAAAATGAAACAAAGTACTGACAGTTGTGAAGTTGACAGAAAAGAACTCAAAACAGTTATTCAAGTGGGTTCTTGTAACAATTAACTAAGACTCCTCTCTTTCACTCCATTTTTCATTCTTTTCAGAAGCAAACCTTTTTAGATACAAATTGTTTTTTGAATTTGCATTCTGTTGTATTGTAGAGTATTAGTCTTTACTCTGTTTGAAGACAGTAAGTTCTTTTGCAGTTCTGTTATTCTGGACATTATATGTGCAGATCTTAGAGTAAAACCTCATTTCAACAAAGGTCAAGGGACTGTGTATTTTGATTACATAGTCTTATTATTGTATGGAAAGTATTTATCGGTGTATGTATGGGCTATAAGGTTAACCAACGTAATTCAAGTGATGTTTTCATTATACAATGGGAATTTTTCATTATAAAGAAGTTTGTTATAGAGAGTTTACAATGTATTATATAAGATCTATACCATTGTAGAAATCACGACCATTGATTAATTATTAAATTAGTTCATGGGATTGGTCAATATGGATAAAGAAACATTTAGTTATGTAATATGTTTCGAAATATTTTATTTCTTCATCAGGGCAAGTGAACTAAGACAAATCAACAATGCATGAGGACAACAAACAAATGGAAATAAATTAGTTCATAAGTGAATTAACACTAGAAAACAAAAAACGTTTATAAACTAAGACAAATAAAACACCAAAATAATGAAAGTTCACACCTTACTAATACATATGAAGGTCCAGCCACTACACCCAACTCCACCTGTAGTTGCTAAAGCATATGGGTCCATCGTGTGACAAGTCTCAATTGGGCCATGGCCTGAACCGCAAATGAATGAGAACTGGTTGAATGCTTTAACTGGCCAATAAATATATATTTAAACTTTCAAGATTTTCTGTTTTAAAACAATTAATAAACTGACCGGAAGTACCCCATTGGTATATTATTTTCATTTTTCTCTTAACTTTGATTAATAATAACAACAACAATAATAACTACAAATTTGGTCAATACATTAGTTTTGATACATTTGCATCTGTTTTCCTCAAAATGTTGTCTGGTTATATTGCTAATTTAACCTGTACATGACCAGAAACACATGGTGGAGTGGCTGTAGCGTGTGGTTCATTCAATTCAATCAGTTCTCATTCATTTGCGGTTCAGGCCGTGGCCTGATTCAGACTTGTCACACAATGGACCCACATGCTTTAGTAACTACAAGTGGAGTTGGTTGTGGTGGGTGAAAATGAGGCTGTGGACCTGAGGTGTGAACGTTCTTTATTTTGGTGTTTTATTTGTCTTAGTTCATAAATTTGTTTGTTTTCTAGTGATAATTTATTTATGAATTAATTAATTTAAATTTGTTTGTTCTCATGCATTGTTGATTTGTCTTGCCCTGATGAAGAAATTAAATATTTTGAAACATTGGCATAACTAATTGTTTCTTTATCCATATTGACCAATCCAATGAACTAATTTGATAATAAGATCTGTAGTTTTAAAAAGTTGATTTCAATGTTTTTAAATTTTTTATTTGTATGTAGGTGTTCTATTTCAATTTTTTAATTATAAATTTTGTTTCAGTAAAGGATATTTCATCCATCCTACGATTGTTGAGTCAAAGAATCCAAAGGATGATATTATGGTAAATGAACTCTTTGGGCCCGTATTAGCTGTGTATGTGTACAAGGATAAAGATGTTAATTCAACCTTGGAACTTGTTGGGAACTCAACCCCGTATGCTCTGACAGGAGCTATATTTGGAAATGATGAGTAAGTACCACTAGTATTAGTAGATAATATTTCTGGGACCCTAAAGTCTTAAAATAATGTGCCAATAATTTGCCCAGAGTGAAGCTCTGAATAATTGTATTGAAATTATATACACTGAATATCTATGAAATAAAGTTTTGTTAGTTCCAGTTAATTCCAATTGTTTAACATTAGAATTTACATTGCAAATTAATGTTACTTTCTCATATACATAATATGGAGAAAGTTATTCAATGTTGCAACAAATCTATGTCAAGGTCATTGTACACTTCTAGGCTCCCTGATACTGAAAAATGTATTTTCTGTCTATGTATCAACAACATTAGCTCCAAAACTGCACTTAGACTTTTCATCAAAGTAGATACCGTATTTACCAGAATATAAGATATAAGAATATAAGACCCCCTAATTTTGAAGAGACCTCCTGAGAATTTTTGAAAATTTTTAACTAATTATTCCTATTTAGTGAAAATAAATTTACAAAGTATCTTTTTGACTAAAAAATTTTTTTGTTGATGAGAATGTCAAGACGTATTTGCTGAACTATTATTTTCTTGTTCTTAATATCATCATCATCAGTTCATGTATGACGATCTACTAAAAATTGACTTAGCGCAACATACCCAGCTGATTGGATATGCAGACAACACACTGATTACTAGCCACAGCAGAACTGCTAGAGATGCACCTAAATGAGTCCCTCTTCAGGGTTTAAAGATGGATGACGCAAAGAGGCCTGAATATGGCATCTGAAAAGACAGAGGCAGTACTAGTAACGGAGAGAAGAGCTATCCAACTCCCCTGCATCACCTTGGATGGAGTAAACATCCCCTGGAAACGCCAAAGTACATACTTGGGTGTCGAAATAAACCATAGGCTGAGTTTCGTTCCCCAGAGACTGGAGCAAACCTCTCCAGAATTATGCCAAATTATTTATTATAGGAGGACCAAAAGAAGCCAAGAGACGTATGATTGCCAGCATAGCTCACTCACAAAGGCTTTATGCGCCTCCGGTGTGGGCTGACAGAGTAGGGAAAGCAAGCGTGGGATGGAAGTTCGCACAAGTGCAACAGAGATTGGGGCAGAGAATAGTGTCAGCACACCGCACGGTCTCAGACAGTGATGTGGGAATCCTGGCTAGAGATGATCTATGACCCCTATTGATCTGGTAAGAGAAAGGAAAAGTGTTACGACGAGGTGAAGAGTCCCTCTGTCTTGGTATGCAAGGGACCTCCATGCAGAATAAAAGATGACATAAAGAAGAGGGCACAATCATCTCTCTTGTCAGAATGGCAGATGAGGTGGGATGGTGACACTAAATGAAGATAGACTCACCAGTTGATACCGATCATAGAACCGTGGTTCAATAGAAGTCAGGGCGAGGTAAATTATTACCTCTCGCAGGTTCTCTCTGGTCTTACTTGTTTATATTTAAAAGAGCAACAGACCCTCAATATTTATTATGTGGGTATGAAGATAATGTCACACTGCATACAGTATTTGTATGCTCAGCATGGAAAACTTGGAGAACAAAGCTGAATGAAGACCTGAAAGTGGACATCTCTCCTTTAAACTTGGTGCAGTGTATGTTAAAATCAGAGGAGTAGAGTACAGTACAAGAATATCTGACATTGGTCATGAAAAGGAAAGAAGAACGGCTTCGCTTTTAACTTGAAGTAAAAGCTCAGCTACCAGCCTGCCTCTCCATGAAGTAATGTCTCGCCACGATTCCGTGTAGAGGCGCATGGGCATAAGTAGAGAGAGGCCTTTTTAGTGGGTGTACCACCGAGAGTGGGAGTCCCACACAACTTGGATTATACCACCTGAATCCCTGACGGTGCAGAACGCATTTTTTCCTCTCGCAAAAAAAAATTATAATAATAATAATTTATTGTTATTGTTGTTGTTATTGTTATTATTATATTTTTTTTTATTATTATTATTATTATTATTATTATTATTCAGCCACATATACAATTACAATCATGTATGACGAGTAAATATGTCAATGGTTAAGAGAGCGAAGTTACATTACTGTCCTGAAGCGAAACAAGGGGCCATCTAAGGGGCCATCATTTGCTCAAGGGACTGGGGAAACAGAACATAAAACCTGATCCCTGATCGAGATGAAGTCATTGACCTAGGAATTATACAACAATACTTGTTACAGTTAGATTAAGATATTATACTGTAGATAATTATTTTTAGTAGCAAAATAATTTAACATTTCCAAATTTGTACTGTTTCATGTTTAAAGTAAAACTAAAATGTACTTGTTATTGTCATTTTACTGCTACTACTTATAATAATAATAATAATAATAATAATAATAATAATAATAATAATAATAATAATAATAATATATTAATTAAATTATAATAACAGTATTATAATATAATTTATAATATTATATTAAGAGAGTGACTTGTTTAAATATCTCTGTGCAGTGAAGTGCATTCTAATAAGTGTTTATTATGAGAAACATCAGCACGAGGTGTTGCCGCCCCGGCGACGGGCCCTCTCGCGCCACCTAGTGCAATCTTTGTTAAATGTTTAATCCAAGAATTGCATATGAGGAAAGATGAACACTTTTGGAAGCTGCAAATCTAAGGTATTGTCGACGTATGTGTGCTTGAACTGTGGTACGGCGTACCATAAATCATGTTTGGAAAGACGGAAAAACATAGTTTTTCAAGAGAAGTCAAACCTGATTAGATGTTGCGATATAGATTCCAATAACGCTGATAAAAACTTAAAACGGGAAAATGAATTGCTAAAGCTTTTGATACTAGAAATGGAGCAAGAAATGGTCTTCTCGATGAAAAGATCAACGAAATTGAGAAAAATAAAAATTGGGAGACTAAAACAACGTATGCGAATGTTTCGGCGAACAAGGCAAAGTTTGCGCTCAACAAGGTTCCTCTGATCATTGTAAAACCTGTTGACAAAAATGAGGCTGGTAAAGTGGTCAAGAAAATAAAAGTGAAAATCAACGTGACAAATATGAAAGTCGCCGTGAGCTCAGTTAAAGAAGTTAAAGGGGGAACTGTAATTATTAAATGTGACTCGAAACTGGATTGTGACAAGATGATCGAAAAATTCAAAATGTTTTTGAAGATAAGTGTAAAATCGAATCGAAGAAGATGAGAAAACCGTGAATCAAGATTGTTGGTGTAAGTGAGGACTACGATGTCCAGAGTGCAAAATCGGCTTTGATTGATTTCCCTGATCTTACAAACGGTGAGATTAAAGTTCTTCATGTGCAAAAATTCAGACATAAAGATACACGAACAATCTTGGTAGAATTGGACCCTGACCTGTTTCGAGAGGTTATTAGATGTTAATATCTGTATTTAGGTTGGCAAAGATGTAGGGTTTTTGAAGATTACAATGTGAATCGGTGTTTTAAATGTAACGGATATGGCCACAGTGCTAAAAATGTCAGAATGACCTTGCTTGCCCCTACTGTGCCGGGACTCGTGAATCTAGAGATTGTAAAAGGGATAACGGGAAAAAATGTAGCAATTGCATCAAGGCTAATGAGAAATTTAAATTAAATTTGGACACAAACCATTTTGCTTTTGATGAAGATGTATGAGGAACATACAAATACTACAAAAATGTCTCTATTTCCAGAACAATGTGTTAGTGTGACTGGGATAGACACAGTTTCGCCCTTATATATTTTAATTTTAAATTTTATATGGAACATTTAGAAGCTAATTTACCAAATCATAACACAAATAAATGCAGAAACTTAAATGAATTGAATGATTACTTATGTGGTATCTCTGGTTTAAAAATTATGCTTATCAATATAAGGAGTTTAAATAGAAATCTCGATAACTTGAAATTATGTATTAATGCTATGGTTGAGAAACCCAGTATTATTATATGTTCAGAAACATTTGAAATAAATTATGTTAATTGGTTTGAGATTGACGGTTATAAGCTTTTTCAATTAAATAGTAATTTAAATAGGAATGATGGTACCTGCATATATGTGAGGAATACTATTAGACGAACTTTAGCAAAAGCATGGGAAAAATCAAAGTAATATATACTGAACTGAAATCCAATAACGGAAAAATGTATATTTCATTATTTTATAGATCCCACAGCGTTACGCTAACGGATTTTATAAGTGATTTATATGTTTATTTACATGATCTGTCCCATGTTAATAATCACATTATAATGGAAGACATTAACCTTGACATATTGAATGATAATGAATTGGTTAATGATTATCTTAATAATTTTTTGGAATTTGGTTACAGATCTTTGATAAACATCCCTACTAGGATCACATTAATCTCAGCAACATGTATAGACCATGTTTCTGCTAAAACCGCTGAAAGCACTTCTATAACACCATTAGTAGGTGATCTGGATTTGACAGACCACCTTGCAACAATGGTGGTTATAGACACTATACCAACTGTTAGAGATCCAAATATAAATCCAATACTCAAAACCCAAATAAAATATAGCAAATTCATCGAACAAAGTATTGACCTTTCTTCAACTAAAAAACAAATTCGTGGTAAAAATAGAAAAGAATGGAACCCAGACAGGAATGGATCTCTAAGAGCTTAATCATATCATGTAAAAATAAAAACCTACTATATAAAAAAATGAAACTGAATCCTGATAATATTGAAATTAAAAGTAAATATATTAGATATAAAAATGTGCTAAACACTTTAATTAAAAAATCCAGTCATATTACAATGAAATGGTTAGTAAGTTATCGAATAGCGTCAATAATCTATGGAAATACATTAATAAAAAATTGGGAAAAAATAAGATTGAGAAACAAGTGTTAAAATCTATACTAAAGGTGAAAATGGAGTTCTCGAGACCGAGCTCGAAATCGCTAGTCATCTCAACAAATTCTTTGCTAAAATTGGTTCAAAAATGACAGCAGAATTTGGAGAAATTAGCAATGATGTGGCAAACGAGCCTACAATTCGAGACTCGATTTTCCTTACACTGACCAATGAAGAAGAAATTCTGACAATAATAACAAGTATGAACAGTAACAAAAAGGCAGGTAGCAATAAAATATCAATTCAAATTATAAAAAGAATTTCCCCTTATGTAATGAAACCGCTAGTACATATTATCAATAAGAGTATTATGGACAGAATTTTTCCTGATCATTTAAAAAAAGCGGAAATTGTACCCATTTTTAAATCTGGAAATCCAGAAAAAGCTACGAATTATAGACTCATATCACTGGTATCCAATTTTGCAAAAAGTTTTGAGAAAGTTTTTAAAATAAGAATAATAAATTTTGTAAAGAAGCATAATATTATAAATAAATACCAATTTGGATTCCAGGAAAATAAGAGTATTGAAGATGCGTTAAAATGTCACTGACCAAATCAGCCTTGCTATCGATAAAAACACTCTGTGTTTATCGGTGTTTTTGGACTTAGCAAAGGCTTTTGATACAGTCAATAACAAAATTCTGTTGAAAAAGTTGTATAACTATGGATTTTGAGGAAATGCCAACAAATTAATTGATAGTCATCTTACTGGGAGAATGCAGGTGGTAAAAATTAATAATATTATCAGTGACGAGTTAAATGTAACTTGTGGAGTTCCTCAAGGAACCATTCTCTTGTATATTAATGATTTTTTTGATATTCTACCAAAGGGTGAAATTGTGTCTTTCGCTGATGACACTACGCTAATTGTTAAAGCTAAAACTTGCTCTGAAGTAAAGGATTTAGCACAAGCTAAATTGAGTCTGCGAAATGGTTGAGTGTAAATTTCCTAACTTTAAATATTCAAAAAACTGTTTTCATAACCTATGGCAGTTATGTTGACAGCATACCTTCAAATATTGAGCTAGTTACATACTAGTTCGTTTGATATTAATAGTGATATGTGTGATTGTCCATTTCTGACACAAGTGAATTCAGCCAAATATCTTGGAATATGTGTTGACTCAAATTTGAAGTGGAAACAACATATCACACAGGTCACAAATAAAGTCCATTATTTAATTTATGTGTTTTATAAATTGCGGGTTATTTTTAGCGAAAAACAATTGTTAATAATGTATTTTGCGTTATTTTGGAATATTGCTACTTATGGAATTATAACAAGGGGTGGTGCGTACTATAACGCAATTAAAATGCTACAAGATGTTCAAAAGAGAATACTTAAAATCGTTTATAGAAAAACCAAACTATATTCCTCTGAATTACTTTTTAAAACGTATAGACTTGTCTCTATAAAGAAAATTTTTCTTAGAAAAATCTCTTTTGAATAATTTTGACTATCTTAAACAGAAATATATATCACTATGTAAAAATAATAAGAGAAACAAGTTATTAGTACTGCCGAAAATTGGGAAAGAAATTAGTTGACGTAACCATAATAATATTAGTTATAGGATTTTTAATTTACTGAGTAGTGAACTCAAAACTACCAGCTATGATAAACTGCGTAAAAATTCAAAGAAATTGCTTAGAAACTTTATAATTGAGCTTAGCGATGAGACAGTTTCTTCAGTTTTTCAATGAGAATTATGAAATTAAACTATATTGTGGTAACTACTTTTTTACTTTCTGTACTTCGAATTTTCTTTTTCTTTTGTAATTTATGCTTTGTTCTTCTTTTGTTTGTTTGTTTTTCTTTTCTTTTTTCTTTTATAAACGAGCTCTTGAAAAAAACTGTTGCTCTGGGAAAAAAAAGATTGATAACAGGCCCCCACACTGGATTAATTCCTCAGCAGAATAATAATGTACATACTTGTATTATATTATTTGTATTTCACAGTCTGTTAATAAATAAATAAATATATAATTTAACAATATTAGTACTTTCTGTTTAAATCTTGAAATAGTGAGGAGTATGAGGCAGGTTTTGGCATTTTTTTAAATTTATTTATTATTATTATTTGTACACCAAGCCCTACTGCAGCACCTAATGCATCTAGCAAATCCAGGGTGAAGGAAACATAATTTTTGGTCAGGTATTCTCCTATTACATCGCAGAACCTGATATGCCAGTTGTTTTTCTTTGCTTCTGCTCGAAACAGTCAACACGAAACAGAATGTCATATCGGATAAGAATTTTTATAAAATAACATTTTTTACAGGAAGTATTGTTGTGATTTGAATATTCCTTCACATTGTAGAACATCTGAAGCAGGAAAGCTTTCAATTTACTTTTGTATGTATGAATTGTGTTTGTCTTTAATATCATTTTCCAGTTTATTGTAAAGTGTAATGCCCTCTATTAGAATACTTTTTTGATAAAGTGTAGTTCCAGAGTGGGGAACATGTAGGTTATCCTTTTGTGTACATCAGAATTTAGAGTAAAGGTGTCTTTGTTTTCCATGAAAATCTTATTTGTGAAGATCACTATTTCAAATATATACATGCCTGGTAGAGGAAGAATCCCTAGTTTATTGAACTAAGGTTTGCAAGACTCCAGCTTATGAGTGCTGGTCATTGTTCACAATATTACTTTTTGGATAATAAATGTGCGAGTGCTTTCAGGGGTATTTCCCCAGAATATTATTCCATATTTTAGGTGTGAGCAAAATACATTGTTTGAAGTGTCTCAATGTTAGAGCTTGACCTAAGAGTGTATAGGGCATAGATTTGGTGAGCTTCTTGTTAAGATTTGAGATGTAAACATTCCATTGCAGGTTTTCTTGAATTGATAGACCAAGGAAGGTAGTTTTATGAGATATCGTTACAGAGTTATTATTTATTAGCAAATGCTGTGAGAGTTTTTCTTTAGATTGGGAATTCATGAAATTCAGGGAGATTGTCTTGCTGGTGGTTATGAGGAGTTGTCTTGAAATCGTTTTACTAGTGCTTGCGAAGTTTCATTTTTGAACTTCCCTTCTTAAGAAGTATCTTCTTAAGGGGGGAAAAAGTAAGAAGATGGCAACTTTAACTATTTTCCATTTGTTTTCAATAAACAAAATACAAAACTTTCTAAAAATAGTAAGGGTTTATGCATTTGTTTTACCAAAGTAATTAAAGATGTCAGTTAAAATACCGCTAAATACCTCCAGTTCTTGGACCCAACCTGTCTCCTAGCGCCTGCGACTGAAAGTGTTAACTGTTTCAATTGTTTTAGTAGATCATATTACGTCTACTTGAGACTTTCGTTAAATTTTGTCAATCAAATAGTTTTGTATAATAAAGAAATTAGTTACAGTCGAGTGATTAGCCTTAAAACCAAGCTGTTCAATGATTATGAAGTTTTTTAGGAGAAGGTTTAATTTGTTGGTACTATATTCAAATAATTTAGAGATTATAGTCAATGAAATTGATTACAGAATGGTATTGAATGGATGATGCCCAGACATAAAACTTTTTTTTTTTAATTAAAGTTTTTTTCTTGTAATTTCTTGTGTCTTATTTTGGTGAACAAGAAAGAATGGTTTTGTGTTGAGAACATTTAATAGAAATAATTTGAGAAAGTAAGTGTAAACATGTAAGTAACCAGGGAACTACTAGTTTGTGAAATGAAATGAAAATCATCAATAAAAACTGGACATATGTGATGTTGAATCTTTGTGTTTGGTTATTGTTACTGTTTTCCTTTGGACTTCCTAATTTGCTGTAAGTCACAGGTGTGAGACATTTATTGGGTATCTTTGTGAAATATTAATTAGAAAATATGAGAAAATGTTCCTTAACTTGTACTAATAGTGAATGAAATGTGTCTTCCAGGGAATTTTTGAAGAAAGCAACTGTTGAGTTGAAACAGACTGCTGGAAATTTCTACATTAATGACAAATCTACTGGTTCTGTGGTAGGACAACAGCCCTTTGGTGGTGCAAGGAAATCAGGTAATTTTATTTATAAAGAAAGCAGCAATTGAAGTTACTAAATATGGTGAACAATGATTAAATTTGTCCTAAAGTCTTTTGTTACACAAACAATATGTCTGCTATTTTTGAGCATTTTTGCTAAATATTATTTAGTTGGTTGCCTAGTGCTGACAGTTATCAGTAAAGACAGGATTTCCATGTGTTATCAAATCCTAAAATATGCATGCAAACATGTGCCATTAAATAGCTAAACATGCATCATTAAGTAAAACCATAAGCTTCCACAGCCGGAATCAGTAACTACTTGGCTCTCAGAGTGGCGCTGGGTCCTAGGCACAGATGCTTAGGTTTCGACTGTCATGCTGTGACCTTCCTCAGATCCAGATGTTATGGTGTAGGTGGGAAGAGAGGTCAATAATAATAATAATAATAATGATAATAATAATAATAATAATAATAATAATAATAATAA